ACCGCGAGATCTAGATCCGGTCGGATCTACGCAGTACGACGGGTATTATTTCACCAAGGAAATAATAGCCGGGGAGGATTGTTTCACCAAGGAAACAATCGTCCAAGTCTCGGGATCTAAGACCAAGCTTAGATCCGGAGTATGCCTGCGTAGATCTGAGATCTGATCCTCTCGAACACCTGCCTTATTTGACGTTGATGATCGCCGAGCACCAGATCTGAAGGAGTGAGTCCCCGAAGTCCCAAAGTTTCAATCTTTTTTAAGTTCCGAGTCTCCAATCCAGCGGCCACCGAGCCACCTCAGGGTGGCTCGGCTTGGGCCGAGCCACCCTGAAGTGGCTCGGTTTCGGCCGAGCCCCTCAGGGTGTTTAGGTTCCGTCGTTCGGTTGTTGTATCCGCTTCGTCCGGTTCTGTCCGTGATTTGGTTGATTCAGACTTGACTCGTTGACCTGATTTGGTAGTAAGTCGGATTCCTGATTTGGCAGTAACTCTACTTCTGAGTTCGAGTCCGAAACCGATCTTGATTCGATCGTGGTTCGTCCGAGTATGCTCTTGGTTGGATGACTCGTTGACTCTTCGAACACTTGGCTTGATCCCGCACGCGAATGGACGTATTCCGTTGCTTGCGTGCGATTAGTCAATCTCGTTGCCTCGTTTGTTTGTCGGTTTGTGCCGAGCTGAGCTAAGGGACCTATAAGCAGTTTTATATGAACTCATACTCGACCTCCTCCTCGACCGGGATCGGAATCCGCGGCTGCGACGCATCGATCTCGACAGCGAGATCGTCGGCTCCCACTGTGGTCGCCAGATTGTTCGCGGGAAAAATTGTTGCTTTCATCATTGATTCCATTGTACACTCTTGTAACAGTTTATCGATTACAAAGATCCGGTCTTTTTATAAGATCCGATTACAACGAAAATCAAATAAAAAGAAATAAAGAAAATTACAACTTTCTCCTTGTTTGTCGAACGAATCGCAAGATCCTGTTTTGCGGTCTCTTGCTTTGTGTGGGTTCTTTGCCTGCGCCGGGGTTTATCCGTGGACCACCGCGAGATCTAGATCCGATCAGATCTAAGCAGTACGACGGGTATTATTCCACAAAGGAAATAATAGCCGGGGAGGATTGATTCACCAAGGAAACAATCGTCCAAGTCTCGGGATCTAAGACCAAGCTTAGATCCGGAGTACGTCTGCGTAGATCTGAGATCCGGTCCTCTCGAACACCTGCCTTTTTTGGCGTTGACGGTCGCTGAGCACCAGATCTGGAAGAGTGAGTCCCCGAAGTCCCAAAGCTCCAATCTTTTTTAAGTTTCGAGTCTTGAATCCGACAGAGCTTCGCCTCCAAAATTTCCAACCCTTGAAAATGAACAATGCCTAGCCTATTTATAGGCACTCGAACCTGTGCCCGTGCACACGTGTCAGAGGTCGGCCACCTCAAGGTGGCCGGCACTGGGCCGAGCCACCTTGAGGTGGCTCGGTTTGAGCCGAGCCCTCCGGGTGTGTGGGTTTGTCGTTTTCCGCCCTTCGGTCTTGTCCGTGATTCGGTTGTGCGATTGATTGACTCGTTGACCTGTTTTGGCAGTAAATCTGGATCCTGATTAGGCAGTAAATCCACTTCTGAGTTCGAGTCCGAAACCGATCTTGATTCGATCGTGATTCGTCCGAGTATGCCCTTGGTTGGATGACTCGTTGACTCTTCGAACACTTGGCTTGATCCCGCACGCGAATGGACGTATTCCGTTGCTTGCGTGCGATTAGTCAATCTCGTTGCCTCGTTGGTTTGTCGGTTTGTGCCGAGCTGAGCTAAGGGACCTATAAGCAGTTTTATATGCCTACAGGCCTGCCTTTGGCTTTCAAGAGAACCGAGCCCAAGCATTGCTTGGCAATCGGTCTTTGATCTTCTCTTGCTCTTGGCATCTTCCACCTCGGGGGCTTGCTGGCCGACAGGAAAAGGCTAGTCATTGTCCGCCTCTCCATCTTGGCATTCTTGGAACTCATGAGGGAGATTCAAGAGAACCGAATCCAAGCACTTTTTGGGCAGTCAGTTATTGATTCTTGGCTCAATTACTCAACTCTGATCAAGCTTCTACCATGTAACGAAGCTCATCGGTGGTCTCGTTCGACTTCTCAGGAGAAGAAGACCGAACCTCGAGATCTTAGCATTTTCGATCTACAAGCACAAGCCCTTGTTTGACCTCGGTTGATTGAACTCAACCAAGAGCTTCTACCACGTGAGGAAGCTCGTCCCACCAAGCTTCTACTATGCACTGAAGCTCAATCACAACTTCGTTCAGATCGTCCAAGGGAAGCAAACTCGATTCAAGCATTCGAGAAAGGCATCCTATCGCTACCGAAGAACCCAGATTAAACAAGAAGAGCATTCTCTTCATGTGATGCCCCAGGTTTTACACGAGGCTACAGTCTAAGGTGTAACCCGGATCGTCAAACCTGTCAAGCACCAAACACCATGCTACGACATGTTTCATCATCACAATCACTATCTCTCTAGTGGAAACAACAAATAGGTAAAAGTACCGACAGGCAAATAAAAAAAAATAAGCCAAGCATACACAGAAGCAATAAGAGAATACTCATCAATGAGCCCAACTGAAATAGAATAGAACATACACAGAAGCAATAAGAGAATACTCATCAATGAGCCCAACTGAAATAGAATAGAAATATCTCTGAGTTTGAAATAAACCTCAAATACAATTACTCATCAATGAGCCCAACTGAAATAGAATAGAAATATCTCTGAGTTTGAAATAAACCTCAAATACAATGAGTCAAATAAAGTATCACTACGGCTCTCAGCCTCTACAAAACATAATACAAATCTGGAGTCTGAACATAATCAACTAACTGTGGAGTTCTGAATAACTACTAAAATAGTAAATAGCTAGATGGAATCTATGAAGAACTCCCATCAGCCTGTGACTCTCCGTGCGCTGGACTCGCTGCCTGAAAGGGGGGAAACAACGAGCGTCAAAGCGCTATAGCAAAAACATCTCCACCTCTCCCCAGGGAAAGGGGTAGGAGTGTATAGAAAATATAGAGAGTACATAAATATAGAATCATTCATATACATCTAACTGGAGATTAGTATTTAGGAATCCACAACACGAGAGTTAGTACGTCGAACGAAATAATCCAAACAAGGAAACCCTCATGTATATACCATGTCTCAAATTGTGACTCCCTAAATACTAATTCCAAATTCTATGAATGATAAACAACAAACAAAAGGATAATACTCCAAACCTCAAACCTGTAGAACAAATATCTCATCCTGATCTATACTCGGGTAGACGGATTTGACATAAAAGAAACTCATCCAAAACAAAAGCCAACCACATACCATGTCGTGTAAGCCATAGTCTCAGAGAAAACACCCTACTTACGGTTATTCAATATGGAAGCAAAATTATACTTTATATTACTTACAAATATGCATCTCTTATATATATTAGCGATATTCTTGTAATACTCTTACTCAATCGCTCTGCGGTAATAGGTTTCATCTCCCTATCCCAGAAGCATAATATGACGATACCTTTATAATACTCTTACTCAATCACCCTGCGGAAATAAGTTTCATCTCCCTATCCTGGAAACATAATATGACGATACTTTTGTAATACTTTTACTCAATCGCCCTGCGAAAATAAATTTCATCTCCCTATCCAGAAAACATAATATTTGTATACTTTTCATATTTAGTATGTTAACACAACATATTTTAACCATATGTGTATATATCTTGGTGTATGTGTCCAATCTCGTGTTTACTGACATCTCAGATGTTAAACAACTTATAAACATCGTATCATAATAGTGGAAGGTCGAGAGACTTGCTCGAAAACTCAACAGTCGATTTTAAACATGCACAGGCCAAAATACACTTGGCGGTCGAATGCAATTACATGGCCGGTCGACCGCGACGGGTTCCAGGGCCTACGCAGGCCTCTGTCCTGCACACGGTCGACCGCCGCTAGGGCGATCGACCTGGCGCGGTCGACTGTGAACCGAAATTCCAGATTCTCAATCTGGTTGTGTGTGTTGTGTTCACGCAGTGTTTAGGTGATTCAAACATGATTAAAACGATATGAATCTTGCATGGAAACATGAAGACAACAGATAAAAACTTCTGGGAGCAATACAATGTATATAACATGATAAATTACATGAAATTTATATTCTAAACCCTAAATCATGCACATGAACTTGAAACAAAGCACAAATTATCTTTCATCAGATTAAACAACATTTAAATCATGTTTAGATCTTAAATATCTTCTGTAAATTCATTCTCAAACCTTTTCACATGGAAAGACCTAGTCTTTATACATATAATACAAAGAATTGACTTTTATTCATAAACTAGTCAATTTGGCTCTAATAATCATGTTAAATACCTTTTAAAAACGTTTTAAAAACTAGGAGGGGGATTAGCAGAGATGAACTCACCTGAAACTTGTAGAAAAATGTTTAAGGTGCCAAGCCAAAGCAGATCTCCAATCCAAAAGCCAAAAATCACCCAAAAATCCACTTGATAACCTCCAATATTCTCCAAGAATCAAAATAGGGTTTGTGGGGGTTTGGTGACTATTAGGGTTCTTAGAGAAACTGAGAAATTCGTGAAAATTTGATATAAAAACTAGAGAAAACGAATATGGGCTTTAGAAATCTGAAACCAACTCAAAACAGGAAAAAAACTTTCTGCAGGTCTCGCGGTCGACCGTGACGGTCGACCGGACTGGGAATTTCCAGTTCTCATGATTTTGGCCATTGTGCATGTTTCGACTCTTTCCTTCCTCACGAAAGAACTTGTTTATACTCAAAACACATGGTATGCTACTCACATACCATTTAACTATATTTATCAAATATCCATATATCATGATCATATATATATATATATATATAAAAAGTATTCCCCTTCAAAACGCCACTTCGCAAAATCACCCACATCTCCTTTCACCGCATCTTTTATAACAACGCCACTTGGCAAAATACCCGACATCTTCTGCATACCGCTTCGTTCCTATCATCAATACACTGCATCGTTCCCAGCTTCATTTTCCTTCCCAAGATCTCATTTCCCCCATTTCCTTCCTCCGATCTTCTGGCCTGTTCATATCATCAATACCCGATCTTCTGGCCTGTTCCTATCATCAATACACTGCACCTGTTTGTTTCCTTCGATCTCAGATCTTCTGGCCTTCAACTCCCCAAAATAGTTCGCCTCGAGAACCCAAGCGTCGCCGAAGGATGATACGAATATATAGAAAGCCTCAGAGCCTCATCCCCACATCCCTTATCTCCAAAGAAGACGAAGATTCAGCAAAACCCTTGGCGAAGACTGATCCTTACGATACAGAAAGCGGTCGGCGTTACCGGAGGTGAAGTTCGTCGGCGTCTTTGGAGGTTGGCAGGTCGTTTTACTGCAACCCTTAATTTTTTTCCCCTTGTGTGAAATTTACTTTCAACGGAATTTTTTTCCATATATTGTGAAATTGGAGCTCTGTTCAGTGCATATTGCTTATGATGTTATGGTGAATGCATCTACTTTGATTGTTACTGCTCTATAGCAATCTTTGCCGATTCATGCCACCAATATTTGATGCAATTTATAAAGTGCTACTTCACCTCGCTAACTACCTGCTATTGACATCAAGATGTGCGAGAGGTGACCAGATGTTTAAGCCTGTTAGGGTCCTATGTGATTCTTTTTTGCTCATTCTAGGTCTCATATTAGAATTAATTACCATCATTTTTAAAAAGTACTTCAATGGTAAAGAAGAATATTTCCCAGTTTTACATTTTGTGAAAATGTTCCATCGAAAAATTAGGAGCTTAAGTTTCTAACTGATGGTTTATTTAATTAGGTTTCAGAATTTGTTGATGGTTGGATATATACGTGGATATAATTAAATTAAGATTTATAAACTTGCACAGGAACTCTGAATACAGTAGAATATTAAAGAACTCTAATTTTAGTGATTTCCATTTCATATTTTTTTTAGTTTTTTTATATTCCATACAATATGACATCTATCTTTCTCAGTGTACTTCTTTAATAATATAGTTGTAGATGGATAAATAGAGAAGCTAGCTAAGCAATTAAATTATGGAGCAATTAAATTATACTAGAATAGAAATTATGTACCTTTAACCTTTCATGGTCTTAACACTTGGTTAGGCAGGTGGGTTTTTGTTTATTTGATTTGTCTCGCATCTATTTGTCCATTTTATGTTCTTAACAATGCTAGCAGAGGACCAAAAATCAAGGGGTATTTGGTATTATTTTATTTTTATGTTTACTTTGTCCATTTTCATGTTTACAGCAAGGGGTATTTGGTATTGTTTCATTGCCCTTGATAATTTTTATTATCTTCTGTTGTAGTTTAATACTGATGAAGTTTGAACTACCTTGATCTTTAATTACTTGGTTTTTTTCACAATTGGGAATCATGTCGATATTAGTTATAATGATGGTAGTTTCATTGGTGCTCTTTTATCATAATATTTCCCATGTATGGAGCAATAAAGTTATAAGTACTTTTAGAAGTGCATGGCTGTAACTTAAAAGTCTTTTGACAATTAACAGTGCTTGTGAGATATCTGGTGCAGAATTTGTGTTATCAGGAGTAATAGTATGTCGTATCGATGTATTACAGATATTATTATAGGTGGTGATTATTATTACCAGAGTGATTGCTGGCTTCTCTATTTCAAGTCTAACTGTGGTAAACTGAGGTTGATAAGAGTCATGATTATCATGGGACATTGATATAGATAGAGGCAATAAATCTACAATCATAAAGAGCTGTTTTAAAATCACGGACATTATAATAAAAGATTTTATATGTATATTGTACAACAGAATGATCAAGAGGTAAACAAGAAATTTACAATTAGAATGTTCTTTTTTGTCTCATACTATTTTATGTCTGGTACTTTATATACAAAATACAACATGTAGAGGCAGATACAGAGACAAGAAAGTATAAATAAAGGGACCATATTATACTAGACAGAGTACAACGTTGCTTACTGAATATCTCCAGATTGCCTTTAGATAGTACTCCAACATTCACTGTCCCAAGGAACTATTATTTGGAATCAGTGATTACTGACTTTAAGATATCATGTTTCTATATAACTCATCTTGACAGAGACAATAGAGACTGGGTGAAAAATGTCAACAAATTCTCTCCCTGTTGCAAACTATCGTGATGATCTGGGAACTCCAGATGAGTTTGTTCTTTCAGACACTCGAACATTGTACTTCTAATGCACCTTCTCACAGTTCTCAGTCCACCAAGTTTCAGTTTGCTGCTCCGCAGATTGCCTTTGACTAAAAAAAACAATTTCGTAATAAGAAATGCAAATACCTTAAGCTTTAATAAGAAAATATACAACTCACGGCCATTTTTTAATTACCTGAATCTCTCCAGTTCCCTGGTCCCATCATGCAGTTCCATAAGAGTGATGTATATACCAGGTTCATATTGTTCTATCCATTCTGCCTCCATTTGAATAGTAGCTGTAGTGGGCAATCTAGACCTGTAACTGTTGTTACTGTTTTGCAAGGGCCTGGCTTCCTTGGAAATAAGTTGCTGCATTTTGGCAGATGTTGGAGTGTCTCTCTTGCTACTATGCTCCACATTATAATATTCATTCATTAAATTGGAATTGGTAAGTGTTTGGCTAACCGTGCACATATCATTATCTTTATTGGTAAGTTACTTTTGATACTAAGGCAACAATCACTTTTGATGGGTCCAAATATCTGATGAACATATTTTCCACAGTTGACTTTTCAACCAAACTACTAATCTTCAACCGAACATGCTGCAATCTATACGTCGGTTAGTGTCCAAACCTAAGTAAAATTTTATTATTTATTTGTTCTTTTTTATTGCGATGGCCACATAAATTGTTCTAAATAGAATTTTTGTGTTTTTTTTAAGATTATTTATTTAGAAAATCACATAACTTATAATTAATGCATCTTTGAACGCCATTCGAATGCGTGTTGCCTACTTTTTAACCATATATGTTATGTTAAAAAGCATTATAATTTGGACATTTTATGAATACTTCCTAAACATATGTTATAGGTTTTCTTGACTTCACAGTTGCATGTTTGTGATAATTATTCACACATCTAAAATTGTTTCTACAGGTTGCAGTGGTTTGTGCGAGTTATCATATATTGAAAGGTATTTTTTCTTCCAAAAAGCTTCATAATATTTCCGCCGGTCATGGAATCTATAAAAAAAATTGAACTATTTTATTTTCATTTATTTGTTACAGCAGTTTGTTAGAGTCAGTTGTTCAGGTTGAAAGGTATGATTTTACATGTTATACTCTTTCAATTGAAATTTTCCTTCAATATCACAGACGCTTCATAATATTATACGATTTTAACATATAAGCTCTGAAATAAGCTCTAAATAGAATTTTTGTGGTTTTTTTAAGATTATTTATTTAGAAAATCACATAACTTAGAATTAATGCATCTTTGAACGCCATTCGAATACGTGTTGCCTACTTCTCAACCATATATGTTATGTTAAAAAGCATTATAATTTGGACATTTTATGAATACTTCCTAAACATATGTTATAGGTTTTCTTGACTTCACAGTTGCATGTTTGTGATAATTATTCACACATCTAAAATTGTTTCTATGTTATAGGTTTTCTTGACTTCACAGTTGCATGTTTGTGATAATTATTCACACATCTAAAATTGTTTCTACAGGTTGCAGTGGTTTGTGCGAGTTATCATATATTGAAAGGTATTTTTTCTTCCAAAAAGCTTCATAATATTTCCGCCGGTCATGGAATCTATAAAAAAAATTGAACTATTTTATTTTCATTTATTTGTTACAGCAGTTTGTTAGAGTCAGTTGTTCAGGTTGAAAGGTATGATTTTACATGTTATACTCTTTCAATTGAAATTTTCCTTCAATATCACAGACGCTTCATAATATTATACGATTTTAACATATAAGCTCTGAAATAAGCTCTAAATAGAATTTTTGTGGTTTTTTTAAGATTATTTATTTAGAAAATCACATAACTTAGAATTAATGCATCTTTGAACGCCATTCGAATACGTGTTGCCTACTTCTCAACCATATATGTTATGTTAAAAAGCATTATAATTTGGACATTCTATGAATACTTCCTAAACATATGTTATAGGTTTTCTTGACTTCACAGTTGCATGTTTGTGATAATTATTCACACATCTAAAATTGTTTCTGCAGGTTACAGTGGTTTGTGCGCGTTATCATATATTGAAAGGTATTGTTTCTTCCCAAAAATCTTCATAATATTTCTGCTTCGTTCTTAGCTCCGCCGCTTCGTTCTTCTCTCCTCACTCTTAACAATTTCCACAGAAACCGTAGCTTTTGAGCAAAACAAACATGGTTGATTACGCCATGGCCATCCACAAGAACCTCTATCACACTGAAGAGGTTCCTCAAGGTCATATCCGTAACCCTAGGTTTTTTATTCTTCTTTATAGGGTTAGGGTTTTTGATTTGTGTTTTGTTTGTTTTTGCTGTTTAGAGATGTTTAATTAATAGGAGAGCGGAGGTCGTTTCGAAGCTAAAATCATTGGAGGAGTCTGTAGCTCTTTTGATTTCGTTACTTCAAAATCCATCTTATGTTCAGGATCTCAAGGCTGATAAGCAATACAACGTCCAGATGCTCAGTGACCAGTTTAAGGTTCTTTTTATTTGCCATGGTTGTATTGCTGAATTTATTTGATTTAAATTTGAACATAAATCTGCACAAAAGTTGTTTGCTATTGTTTACTTGAGATTATCAAATATCCTTGAAACTATCAAATGCTTTAGGGGTTACTTGCAACATCAACATAAAAAAGTGAATTGGAAGCAGATTTTCTTAACATATTTTAGTTTTTTTTATTTTGGAAATGTGAGGAACAAAGTTAGGGCTTTGGAGTGTCAAATTGGCAAATTAGTGTCAATTTTGAAAACTTTGGCATCAAACTGACAAAATAAAACTTCTGGGTATCAAAGTTTAACAGGGTGAAACTTTTGGCATTTAAAGTACTATAATCCTGCACTTCAGCAATTAAAGTACTATATAGTGAATTAACTTTTGCAATATCGTTCCCAATCTTTGATTGAGTAGCTAACATTTATTTGTTCATGCAGATTGGTCCAGAGCAGATAGAAGCTTTATATCAGTATGCGAAGTTCCAATTTGAGTGTGGGAACTACTCTGCTGCATCTGAATTTTTGTATCAATATCATGCATTGTGTACTAACAGTGAAAGGAGCCTTAGTGTACTTTGGGGAAAACTTGCAGCTGAGATTTTTAATGCAGAACTGGGATGAAGCTCTTGAGGAATTGAATCGCTTGAAAGAGATAATTGACTCAAAGGTGATTCTTTGTTTATGGTATGCATGGTATATGCTATTAGTTTCATGTATTTTTAATATTAATAATATTTTGGTCTTCGGATTTGCTTCTTCATGTCCTTTCCCTCTACACTGCATTAAAAGATAGGATTTGGTTATATGGATCAAATAAACAAGATGTTTCTTTGAATCAAGAAGACCATAATTGTTCCCATACATAAAAGACACACAAAAAAAGACATAAAGAAAAAAGAAAGACGCACACACAACATATATGACTTGCATGTTCTTTTTCGTTTGCACAATTCTGTAGCATGGTTCTCAGATTATTTTGCCCTTGATCGCAAACATATTCTTAAATCTATCTGAATTTGTTTACATATTACACTTTAATATAGTATTCAGGTATTCAACAACTACAATTTTTCTTGGTTGTGCTTATTATTTGTTTCTTGAATTTCTAAGGAAAATTGGCCTATCAAGTTAACAATTTCATGTGCAGATTTTGTTCCCATAAATAAAAGTAAAAATTGGGTTTTAGCAATTATCAACATTAAGGAGCAAAAATTCCAGTATATTGATTCACTTGGCGGTATGGGCAAAACAGTGCTAAGAGTATTGGTAAAATCAACTTATATCTAAGTATTTCGGTACAAGTAGTTGATGTTATACAAACAAGTATAAGATAACATAAGTTTTGCTATTTATGATTTCTGTGCATGTGAATGCCAGGTTAAATATTTGATGGATAAAGTAAAGAACAAGAGCAGTAAACAGATTGATGTAGTTTCTTGAAAGCAAGAAATAATTAAGAATCTTCCTTAATTTGCAGGAAAATGGGTATGTACATTTTATGTCATATGTATTCACGAGGCTTCCATGCTTGAACACTGTTAAAATAGTTTAACTGTTTATCGTTCTTTCTTTCACTACCTCAGCATCCTTGGTTGTATACTCTTCAATTAAAATACCGGTCTCTACTACATTTCTATTGCATACATATTCTATCTCATTTGTTATACTTTTTTTAGTATTACATTGTCCTTTCAACTTGCTTTTGGTTTATTAAGCTTCTTTTTTGAGCAGTTATTATGTTAGGCATGAAATGGATGTTTTTTCTCGACAGGTATGACTGCGGAATGTTCATGCTCAAATATATAGACTTTTACAGCAGAGGTTTAGATCCTATATTTAGGCAGGTGAGAAACTCTTTTGTTTTTTCTATTCCTGGATTGCTTTTAATTTAGATGGGTTAATCAGAATTCCAATTGCCTGTAATATGAAAAAGTCTTAATATTGACTCGTCCAATTCTGGGTAAACAAGTTGACTCTCACTACCTATATTATAAAAGTCCTTTTTCATAAATTTACAAGATGCTGCTGACAAATATCTTTTAGACAGAATGTGGTATTATGTAATTTTCTTCACACTCTTACATAACTTTCTGACAAGATGCTGCTGCCAAATATCTTTTAGATATAATTCGGTATCATGTAATTTTCTTTGCACACACCACACGCATGCATTCATGTGAATACTCTAGATAAAAATTGAACTTCTGAATTTCCAAATTGAAAATGTATACCTTTGAATGTTTTGTTAACAAATAGGCTACTTAGAAGCTATTGGTAGTATCCAAGATGCAAAATTTTGGGTTTACAATTTGAGAAGGGGATGTGATTTAATACAGATAAGACTACTTAGGTAAATCATTATGTACAGATGAGACTACTTAGGTATATTTGGTTGAGAAGGGGATGTGATTTAATACAGATAAGACTACTTAGGTAAATCATTATGTACAGATGAGACTACTTAGGTATATTTGGGTATCCAAGATGCGATAAGACTACTTAGGTAAATCATTATGTACAGATGAGACTACTTAGGTATATTTGGGTATCCAAGATGCAAAATTCCGTGAGTGTGTATATGCATTCCGTACTAAATTTTTTCCTGCTTGTAGCAACATTAAATTGCAATGCAGTTTGTGGGGTGATTATGCTGTTCAAAGTTTCACAGTATGTACATAAATCTAATTCAGGAATTATTATAATGGTGATTCAGCTTGCAAAGACAAAACCATATGGAGGTAAATCAAATTACATGTATTTCTCAAAAAAGATATATTTTTATTTCGTCGATTATGCTTATATATTGACATAATCATGAATTTAAAAACTTTATTTCTTAGGTAAAAATTACTATTACAAATGTCTTATATGCGTCCAAGATATTAATCAATCCCGACATACCTGAAGTTGCTGATCTAAGAAAAAGGTGCATGATGAATTATCTTATTCGTTAAAATTGCTTTTCTTTTTCATTCCTCATGTTTGTATTCTTTAATCTCTTTTTGAGTAGTATCTTTTGTTGCTACAACATTCACCATTATCATTTTGGATTGCCTATTTCTTTTCGCTTTACAATTCATTTCTTGATTCTTAACATTAATTGTACAATAATCTTTTCTTGCCACCTCAATAACATGCTAATTATTATGTTATACTGAAACACAGGTATCATTACCACTTGTGACAATGAAGTTGAAATTTGTTCCTCGGATAATATTACTCCTTGCAAGAGAACTGCGTTTACCACTTGTGACAATGAAGTTGAAATTTGTTCCTCGGATAATATTACTCCTTGCAAGAGAACTGCGTTGGAATCTGATGTCGAGCACTCAGTTTCAGTAGACTTGATCTCTCCACAAAAGTCTAGCAACAAAAAGCAAAAACAAATCAAAATTGAAATGGAGAATTAGATTATTCTACAGAGAGTTCAAGCCCCTATTTGAAAAATCTTAATCTGATTTATGATGTCTTTAATTTGTATTTAGTATTCTGGTCTAAAATCTTATTTAGTAAACTTTTGTATGCACTACATATTTTTTGGTGGTTTTGCGTTGAGAAACCTAACTACTTGATATGATTATGATCGATATTTTGTTTATCGCTATATTGATCATTATTGTTTTGATTCATAAATATATATACTTGACAGGTATCTTTATGTGCTTAGGTTGTATCATTTCTGACTATTTATCTATTATTACTGTTTTATTTTGCATTCTTTAGCTACATTAATTTTTATATATTAGACAAATCCGTGCATCGCACGGGCCTGAAACTAGTATATATATATATATATATATATAGAGAGAGAGAGAGAGAGAGAAAAATGGAGAAACTTGGTACCAAGTTGCTCCAAGCAACTTTGTAATGATGTGGTCTAATCTTGTCCTTACATCTACATTGGAGTTGGTGAAGGGTGGTTGAGGCTCTATCTTCGAGGTGTGATGTAGGGGCAAGATTAGGCCACATCACTACCAAGTTGCTTTAAGCAACTTGGTACCAAGGTTCTCCATTTTTCTCATATATATCCATAGATATGAATCATAAGCCACGTTTAAACTTAACAAATCTAGAATATGTGCATCCTCACTTAACCCCTAATTAGACGGAATTAGTACGTCGGGCGAAAAATCCAAACAAAGAACCCCCATATATATACCATATGTTCCGAATAATTAAGAGCTAAGTGTTGAATGACCCATTCTAGCGTTAAGTATAAACGTGTCTAAACAGCACAATCACATCAATCAATGCATATGAGCACATTTAAAATATCAACATATTACCTGTTCAAACAGGTGTGGGTAGTCGCGACGTACATCCTCCTCGTGCTTCCAAGAAATATCTTCGGCTCCTTGCTGGTTCCATTAGGCTTTTCACTGAAGGAATGACCTTGTTTCTAAGCTTTTTATTCTCTCTAGCAAGAATGCATACTGGAATCTCTACTATAGTCAAATCATCCTGGATCTCAATCTCTAGTGAATCAATCACTCTCTGCTACTCTTCATCACGCAAATGCTTCTTGAGCATCAAAATATGAAAGACATCGTGTATGCTCGACATCGATGCTGGAAGGTCTAATCTATAAGAAACAACTCCAATGCGCTCGATAACCTTGAAGGGACCAACATATCTCGGGGCAAGTTTCCCCCGTCTATCGAATCGCTGAACGCCCTTCATCAGTGATACTTTCAACATAACTAAGTCTCCGACCTGAAATTCTAAGAATCATCTCCGACGATCTGCATAACTCTTTTGTCGACTCTGTGCAGCAAGAATGCGCTCCCGAATCAATGCTACCTTTTCCATGGTCTGCCTAACTAGCTCCGGGCCAAGTAATAGACTATCCTCCGGTTGTGCCCAACATATAGGTGATCTGCAAGGCCTTCTGTACAAGGCTTCATACGGCACCATCCCGATGGTAGCTTGATAACTATTATTATATACAAATTTAATCAATGGGATGTGATCCTCCCAGCTACCCTAAAAATCTATAACACATGCTCTCAGCATATCCTCCAATACCTGATTTACCCTCTCGGTCTGACCATCTGTCTGGGGATGAAATACACTGCTAAATGATAACTGGCTGCCAAAAGCATCCTGAAAACTCCTCCAGAAATGGGATGTAAAGACTGAGCCTCAATCTGATACAATCGTCTCCGGAACTCCATGCAATTTGACAATCTCTCGAATAAAAATTGTCGCATAGGTGTCCACCATATAAGTCGTCCTCACAGGTAAGAAATGCGCCGACTTTGTCAATCTGTCTACTATTACCAAAATAGAATCATTTCCTTTTTTTTGATCTAGGCAACCCTACTATGAAATCCATGGAAATATCTGTCCACTTCCACTCAGGAATGGGTAAAGGTTATAGGGTTCCTGCAGGTCTCTGATATTCTGCCTTAACTTGCTGGTAGGTATAACACTTAGCCACATAATCTAAAATTTCTCTATGCATACCACTCCACCAAAAATACCTCTTCAGATCCTTGTACATCTTCGTTGTGCTTGTGTGCACTGTATATCTGCTGCGATTTACTTCGTCAAAATGTTTCCTCTTCTGCTGTAGATTGTTCGGCATGACAATCCTGCCCTTCATCTGAAGGCCTCCATCTACTCTAATAGTCCAATCATCCTTGGGTTCCTTGGAGATCTCCCCCTTGCGGGTTTGAATCCACGAATCCTCTAATTGAGCTTCGACTACTCTATCTCCCCAAGAGGGTTGTACTGATAAAGCTCCTAAGAAAACACTGCTCCCGCCAATCTCTAGCCTGAAATCATAATGACTGAGGGCATAAAGATCCCGATATAGTGAACACCTCAAAGCTGCTAGCCCGCGACCACGATTCCTGCTCAACGCGTCTGCTACCACGTTCGTCTTTCCCAGATGATATTGTATAGCGAACTCATAATCCTTAATAAACCCTATCCATCATCGTTGTCTCTGGTTGAGTTCTTTCTATGAGAAGAGGTACTTCAAACTCTGATGATCTATGAATAATTCAAACTGTACTCCGTACAAATAGTGTCTCCATGCCTTCAGTGCAAAGACCACTGTTGCTAGCTCTAAATCATGTGTGGGATAATTCTGCTCATGAGTCCTCAACTGTCTCAAATTATAGGCTATAACTCTCTGGGTTTGCATTAATACACCTCCAAGACCTGATAAAGATGTATCCGTGTAGAAAACAAAAATCTTATCACTACTGAAAATAATCAATACTGGAGCTGAAGTCAGCTTAGTCTTCAATGTCTCAAAGGCCTCTTGGCATTTTGTGACCCAAATAAACTGTACACCCTTCTTAGTAAGGCATGTAAGTGGCGTCGCGATGTTCAAGAAGTCCTGAATAAATTTCCTGTAATAGCCTGCCAGACCCAAGAAGCTACAAATCTCGATAACTGTCTTCGGTGGTTCCCAATCAAGTATGACATCTATTTTAGCCGGATCTACTGCAATGCCCTCATGGCTGATGACATGACCCAAAAATCTGACATCCGATAACCAGAATTCATACTTACTGAATTTGGCATACAACTGGTGACCCGCAAAGTCTGTAATGCCAGACTCAAATGCTGCTCGTGCTCGGCCTCCGATCTCGAATAGATAAGAATGTTATCGATGAAAACTATCACGAACTGGTCCAAGTATGGACAGAAAACCCAATTCATCAAATCCATGAATACTGCGGGTGCATTAGTCAGCCCAAATGGCATGACAAGAAACTCGAATGATCCATATCGAGTCAAGAAGGCGATCTTGGGAATATCCATCTCCCGAACCCGCAACTAATGATAACCGGAACGAAGATCTATCTTCGAAAAACACTGAGCCCCTGCAACTGGTCGAACAAGTCATCGATCCTCGGTAATGGCTCCCTATTTCGAATAGTGACCTTATTCAACTCACGATAATCAATGCATAATCGCATACTCCCGTCCTTCTTCTTCACAAAGAGGACCGGTGCTCCCCACGAAGAATGACTCCGTCGAATGAATCCCTAAGATAATAACTCATCTAGCTGGATCTATAGCTCCCTCATCTCAGCAGACGTCATACGGTAAGGAACTCGAGAAATCAGCACGATGCCTGGCTACAACTCTATGCAAAACTCGACCTGAAAGACATCCTGATGCTCTAAGACTACTCGCGTCTCACTCAAATCTGCTCCCCGATCCCGTAATATCACCTCCTGGACGTATGCTAGATATGACTCCGCAAACTGGTTGCCTCTGGAGGTCGCTACCACTAACTCAGATCCATCAAAAGCTCGCAAACTGACTATTTTCGCAAAACAGTTGATACTCATATGGTAGGAAGATAGCCAATTCATACCAAGGATAACATCAAACTCAGACATACGCAACATGATCAGGTCTATCATGAACTCGGAATCGTCCAAGCTAATGATACATCTCCTACAAGCACTCTCTAAAAGAGACGTCTCCCCTAAAGGAGTAGATACAGATAAAGAAAAATCTAATGGTTGCGCCACAAGCTGGAGACTAACCGAAAAATCATAGGAGATAAAAGAATGTGAAGCACCAGAGTAAAAAAGAATACATTCTGGAAATGAATTCACAAGGAAAGTACCTTCCACCACCGTCCCGCTTGCGCCATGATCGCGAGGAACAACAACATACACTCTATCAGTCGGTTGTGCTGCATCACCTGGAATATATGGGACTATCTGTCCTTGCTGGATCTCCTGAATCGCTCGTACTTGTCCCTCAATCCTCGGGACTACTGGAGGTGCCTCAATCCTCAACTGCTGACCCTGACTACGATCCTGAGTGCGGTTCTGCTACTGTTGTGGATTCCTACCCTGCTGGCCTGCTACGGGTGCGTTGAGGCACTTTGCTGCTCTGTGACTTGGCTTGTTGCAATTGAAACAAGCTCTATGAAACCGACGCTGCTGTTGCACCCTCTGATCCTGCTGATTGCCCTTCTTATGGGGATCCTGCTGATGTGGAACCTTATTCTGATGCTGGGGTCCTCCTGAGCCTGTAAAAGGTCTCTTACCCTTACCTTTATCCCCAGACTGTCCTGACTTAACATTTCCATCTTTACCCTTGATAAATATAGCTGTGTCTGTCTCCTGAGCTATGGCAGCATCTGCCACCTCTCATACTGAACGGAATCTCCGAGATACTAGATATCGGCGTAAACCTGGACGAAGTCCTATCATGAACATCTGGGCCTTCCTCTCCTCGGTGTGCCACATGCCAGTGAATTGA